AGGTAGCATCCCTTGAAGACAGAGTGCAGGGCTGGGGGTTCCGAGTCACTTTAACTCCCTCCCTCCCATGTGCACAGTGCAGAGAGTATGCATCTATGGGCTTCATTTTGGGAACAAGAAAGGTGAGGTCCTCAGAGGGACTCTCCGATTCCCATGGAAGGATGATCACAACCACCTTCCTCTTCACATTTAAAATTGCCAATGGCAGGCTGCAGTGGTGCATGCATGCCTGTAATCCCAGCACTGGGGAGGATTGAAATTTCTGCCACCTAAGTAGCCAGGCTACTCTGCCTCAAAAATAAACAAATATAAACAAAAGCAGCAACAACAAAAGCAATGAACAAAAATGCAACCCAGAGTACGGCAGCCACGCTTCCTTTCCCCTGAGCCAGGACGACCTCTCTGTGCTCAGCTCCTCAGCCCATTGTGGCCCCCTGTGAACTTCAGCACTGGCTTCCTCAGAGGTGGGAAGGGATCAGTCAGAGGCAAGGGCAGGTGGAATCACCCATGACCCAGTGATGAGATGGATACTCAGTGCTGCAAACTAGAGCAGGCGTAGAGGAGGCAAAAGCAGAAGCTGGTGGGGGGAACTGGGTTCCCCCCTAGGCGGTAGTTCTTCAATAAGCAAAATACGTGAGGCCCTTCAGATATGTATCCTGACACCAAAACAATCCCAATGCAAATCCAATCACTTTTCCATTCCGAACTCAGGTGGCAGCCTTGCCATTCCAAACGCAGTTACCAGTTACCGTTCTTATTTGGAGAGAGCCTAAGAGAGCAACAGATGCCACACAAAGGGCTTAGTTGAGCCAAAAATACCCAGAGGACACAGCACTCAGAAAATGCATGTTTTACTGAGGGATAAAGGGCTTGCCAGGACTCTGGCCAATGTCAATAGTCAGAACAAAGGACATTCAGAGTCCAGGACTGGCAGAGGGCTCTGAAGTGGTAAAGGAGGGACGTGTCTGGGTTTAGATGTAGGTCAGTCCTAAGTGATGTTGTAGCTGAGGGCACCCCACACAGTGAGACATGCATTTGGGATGCTTTACTTTTAATATCCCCAGGATCAGTTTTTCCTCTAACATAGTTGGACCACTGTTCATTGTCATACCATTCCTGTAAATCTCCTTCATGCTATTTGCAAAAATACAGCTCAATGCTGTATTGTTTGTCTAAGCTTATTGGTGTTCTCGCCAAAATATCCCCCTTTTCTCACCTTTTTGCACAACACTGAAAGGTAATTCCAAGAATTAAAGAAATAGGCATGTCAGGACCTCCTTCAGACATCTCTACAGTCAAAGTTTGTGTATTACAATCTGCCTGCCTTGAGAAAGCACATAGACATTCATTATGGCCCAACCTATTCCTTGGAGTTTATGCTACATATTTCCTAGAGGGGATGCATTTGTCATTACCTGGAGCAGACTAGGCAAGAAAATAATGGAGGTGGCCTTGTTCCATTGACTTCCAGTCAGAAGACTGGAATTCTAGCTAGAGCTTAGCAGAGAACTAACTAGAAGCTCTTTAATATCTCCATACCTCTGTTTCTGCATGAAGAGGTGAAGGGGACTGAAGACAGAGTTCAACTCACAGAGTGTTTATTTACTGTGTTTGAGACCCTGAGTTTGACCCACAGCACTACATATGATATTTGTGGTACGTACTTGTTATCCTAGGATCTGGAAAGTAGATCTAGGAGGATGAGAAGTTCAAGGCCATCCTCAGCTACGTAGTGAGTTTGAGACCAGCCTGGACTACCTGAGAGCTTACCTACCCTAATTCCTCCACCAAAAAGAAAAAAATGTGATGGCAACTGTGAGCTTTGATCTCATGCTTTTTGGAAACCTAATGTGTTCATGTTGGCCTAAGTGGAAGGTAAACAATAAACCAATATCATAACTGCTGAGATTTTAAGGACCTTCCTCATCTTCCAGCTTCGCAAGGCTCTCCTTTGGGGCAGTAGGTGATGCCTTTTCTCAACTTCTGGATAAGTTTTCGCCATGAGCTTAACATCTGGAGGATCTGCTAGAGCACATCATGGGATTCTTTCACCATGTTCAGTCATCAGGGTCCTGGCGAGAGGTCCAGGCCAGGGGGTTCCAGTGGGGTCACAGGCTCTGCCACTAGACCCAGCTAACCAAGGAGACACGTGGTAATAAGCACATTAGGGGAATTTATTCAGTATGGCTACATCAAGAAGGAACAAGGTCTGCACCCTCTATTTCATGTTCCAGGAGCTCATAAGAACAACAGAATCACACAAGGAAGGAGTAGAAAGGAGGAACTAGGGGTCTGCAGAGCCAAGAAATCATGGAGAAGATTTGGTCTGGTTGATTATTGTCCTGGGACTGACCACGCAACTGCTTGGGGACAGCTTTAACTCTCATTATGGGATGCCAATAAGTCACTTGCTATTTGTGGAACCCAACAGTGACTGCTGAAGAGACTCTTCAGAGCAATAACAGGCCACAAAGGCAAATGGAAGTTAGTTAGTCAATATCTGGGTCACCCTTCAGGCTTAGATCAGCGCCTAGGATCATCTGTATGGTTCTTCTGTGTTTAATAAGACAGAGGGATCAGAGGGCCCCTAAGTGAATGCTACATACCTTTTCTTCCAGGTAGTGAGAAACACGTTCACTTTAAGAAGGGAGCAGTTAAAACTCCTTGGGTTAAGTCAGTCTGTAACAGGGGTCAACCTATTGAAGCGACTTCTTATATTATCTATTATTAAATAAAACTAGGGAGTCAGATATTGGGGTAAAAACCTGATTGATCAGAGAAGCAGCAGAAAAGCCACCAGTGACCTCCTCTCTCTCTCCTTTCTCAATCCAAAAAGGGCCTGCAAATCTTTTTAAGCCCCTCCCTATCACTTCCTGTGTCTCTCTATATGTCCTGGGTCCTCCAAAACCTCTATGGCTAATTCTAGTAAGCTAGTAGCTAACACTGCCCTCTGAGTTAGTCAGAATGCAATCAAAATACCCCAAAACATCCTACTTTCTCCAAGAATCCCTAAGTCACACCTACCAGGAGTCTCGGCATTCCCACTCTTGGGCCTGTGTGACTCTTGCCAGCGTTCATGGGAGTCTGAGCACTGTCAGAGAATGGTGGGTGAAGGAGAAGGTGCCCCTGAGAAGAACAGAGTGGATGTTTTCACTAATATTTGCATGCCCAGATTCCTCCATTCTTTGTGTTTGCCAAACTGCATGCTTCATAAAGATGCAGAAAGCAAGTGTTTAATACAGAGAAGTTGAGAAAACACGGTATGAAAGCAAGGCCCAGCCTGGGAGCATTCATAGCCTTGAAGTGGGTGTGTGTGTTGGGGGACAGCATACAGGGACAGGACCCCAACAGTGAAATTCTGTGTAGCAGAGATGCTAAGATTTCTTTCACCCCAACATGCTGCAGTCTTGGGGTGAGGGTTACAAACCCAGGCCTTAAATTTGATTGATTTATGTCTATGGTAAAGGGTGACAGAGGGGACAGAGGTTCAGTGTGTTAGAGTTCTACTTTTCAGAAAAATAAAAAGGCAGGATGAAAAGCCCATAGCAGCATGAAGCCACACCAGCCCCCAGCTCCTGCTTGGTGTAGGTGGTAGTTCTTTCTCGGGGTGGTGGCAAGGAAGCATCGGGCCCCCAATTATTTGGTCTGGGGCTTTCTAATGGCCCTGGGAGGAGATCTACCCTCCTAAGGTAGTTGTAAGGTGAGCTACTCTCTCAGATGTACTACGGGGTCAACAGCAAGGAAAGATTGACTTTGGACTACAAACTGTTTAGGACAATTTTGAGATGGCTAGCTGAGATGATCCAGCCTGACAGACTACTTGAACAAGGACTTGAGACAAGCCCTGCACTTTCTCAATATGCAGAGACTGGACAAATGGTACAGGACTTGACGATTAACCCAAAAATTTTCTCTTCAAGATTCCCTAAAGATATCTTCACCCCTAGAAAGCAAAAAGAAAAAGAGACTATAGATATGAGATAGATCATTGAATCTACTCTGAGAAAAAAGATAAAGAAATAATAGGATAAATAGGTGGATCATTGAATCTACACTGAAGAAAAAGGGGAAGATATAAAAATGACAAAAGGTAGACTACTGAATCTACTATGAAAAGAAAAAAGAGAGAATATGGATATGATAAGATAAAAAGGGAGATTATAGAATCTACTTTTTAAAAGGAACTACTTGTTTTAAATAAGTGATGAAAATTTTTTGTCTGAGTTTATCAAATGTTACTGGACTGGACATTGTTAATATATATAATAGAGTTTTTATCTGAATCTGTCAAATGTTAATGGACTAGACATTGTTAATGTAATCTTGACTGTGTATATTGTATATACTTACTGGATATAATTTTTCTTGTATTAGTTATAAGCTTTTTTAAATTTTAGACAAAAAGAAAGGAAATGCGGTATTGTATTCCCCCAAATATTGTGCGGGCTAATAAACTTATCTGGGGTCAGAGACAGAGCAGCCACAATATTAAACATAGAGGATAGACAGTGGTAGCACACGCCTTTAATCCCAGCACTTGGGAGGCATATCCAGGCAGAAATCCATGTTTTCAAGGATACAGCCAAGCCTGGTGACTCATGCCTTTAATCCCAGAAAGCAAGCCTTTAATCCCAGGGAATGATGGTAGAAAGCAGAAAGATATATAAGGTGTGACGACCAGAAACTAGAAGCATTTGGCTGGTTAAGCTTTCAGGCTTTGGAGCAGCACAGTTCAGCTGAGATTCATTCTGGATGAGGACTCAGAGGCTTCTAGTCTGAGGAAACAGGACCACCTGAGGAATTGGCAAGTGAGATAGCTGTGGCTTGTTCTGCATCTCATCTACCAGCATTCACCCCAATAACTGGCCCCGGGTTTGATTTTTATTAATAAGAACATTTAAGATTCATGCTACAAACAAGCCCAAACAAACAAACAAAACTGGGCTTGGGGAGAGGCTAAAGGTTGGGAGAAGTTTAGGAGTAATGAACTACTTTTACAGAATTCATCAATATCCTGAGTTTCTCTGACTGTTGGGACCACCAAGGAAAAGCCCCGGCTTCAATTCAGACTCCGGTTAGACTCTGAGACCAGTTAGTCAGCTCTGGAAGCTCTTGGTGAGTCCCACCCCTCCAGGACCAGCTCTCATGCTCTGAGAACACCCGCTTTGCTCTCCCTGATGCCCAAGGCTCCATTGCAGGCCCTTCATACAAGCTGCTGCCCTGATATCAGCCTGTAGTCCAGGTGAGCTTCTGTTCCAGTTGGAGAAAGCACACTTACTGATGATGGTCCTGATGTTGGAGGACCCCAGCCCTCAGAATAGGGGAGGTGTTAGGCAGGATACCAAATCCAAAGTCACCCCCAGGTCCCTGCCTGGCCGGGTCACCTCTAGCCATCACACATTATTCAGGAGAATCATGCTGCTTTTCGTTGTCCCAGGGTTCTCCCTTTGGATATGTTTGGGTTCCTCAGCCTTCATGGCTCTTTCATTCATTCAGGCTTCATTTCAGACCTCCCAACTCTCTGGATCTGTTTGTTCTTGTTGGGGGTATAAGAGAAGGTAGGAGATGTTGCTATGTGAATCCCTACTAGTGATTTGATAAGTTGAACCTTGAACTGTAGTCTAGATGCCTGGGCTAGAAGTATTTATGTCCTGTGACCTCGGATAAGGCATTCCCTGGGAGCCTTCCTATTTAGAAAGATTTCATTAGGAAAGAATATTGTAGGAAACCAGAATACCAGAGTGGCCATTTCCTGGCCTCTTTCTTAAGATCAGGTGCCCAGTACATCTTTGCAGCTCTCTGCTCTCTCAGGGGTCAGGGCAATTCTGTGCACACTGCAAACACCCAGTGAGTGTATGTGAATGTAGGAGATGAAGGATTGAAGATCTTTGAGAAGTGGATGTGCAACCTGAGAGCAAGAGACGATTATAATTAGAAACCCAGAGCTGGTGCTGGGAACCCAGCTGAAGGGCTGGCTCCCCGTGCCCTCCCTGTCAGACACACTGTGCAGGCTCCAGACAGCCTGGGCCCCAGCCAAGACTAGAACGCTGGCTTGAAATGAAACCCCAAGGGGAAAGTCATCCATCACAGAAGGTAATGGTCCATGGAAGGATTCGTCTCCCTCCTTCTCCCCCAATCTTCCTGGACTAGCTGTTGGGAACGAATCTAACTTTCCCAGGAGAAGAAAGGCCAATTTTAGAACTGTTTTCTAAGTTGGTTACAGTACAGGGCATTCTGTGTGGGTCCCATACTTAGGTACGCCTGAACATTCTTGGACTGACCCCAGACCATCCTGCGGTACCCCTGGTCTCACTGTCTGTCTCTTCTTCCAGTCTCAGCCAACTATGAGGTCATTGCATGGAATCCTTGGCTTCCTGAAGTGACACAGCAGGCCCAGCTCTATCTATAATATCTATATTAGTCACTATCCTTACCAGTGGTAAAGGGGGGTACGGCCAGCTCAAGAGTCATTGCTGGGCTGGGGCTACAGCTCACCCACAGAGCCTTTGCCTAGCATGAGCAAGACCTCGGGTTTGAACTCTAGCACTACACTAGAAAAAATTAAAAAATAAGCATCATAGTTGCTATTTCTCCTTCTCTGTATCTGTGTATTGTGTACAAAAGCACCAAGGCATACTCACATGGCTTCTTTTTGTGTTGTTTATTTATTTATTTTTGTTTTTACATCCCAACCAAAGTTTTCCCTCCCTCCCCTCTTCCAAGTTCCTCCCCGCCACTTTCCCTCTCACCCCCAAACTCCATCCACTCCTCCTCCACTGTTTCTCTTCAGCTACATAAGGGCACCCATGGATTAGCGGTGTTTTGGTTTTTTTTCTATTGTTTGCTTTTGGAGACAGGGTTTCTCTGTGTAACAGTCCTGGCTATCCTAGAACTCACTCTGTAGACCCGGCTGGTCTGAAACTCAGAGATGCACCTGGCTGTACCTCTCTAGGACTGGGGTTAAGGGTGTGAGCCACCACCACCTGGCATTCACATGGCTTCTTAAGACTTGACACTCAAAATAGCAATAACATGATTACCTGGGATATTGCTAAAATGTACAGACCTCAGGGTGTAGCTCAGACTCACTGAGTCAGGATCTGTGCTGTAACAGGCTACATGGTGTTTTTCATGCCCATTAAAGTTTGCAAAGTACTGCTTTAACTTGGTGGTCGTCAAAGAGGACAGCCATGGCGCAGCAGCAGCAGCAGCACCTGGGAGTTAGAGAGTCATTAGAAGCTGCTCATGGCACACACGTTATCTACACACATATACACTGTGAAGGCAGAGGGCCTCAAATTCAAGGCCTACCTGAGCTGCATAAGATACCTGGTCTAACGCTGTCTCAAAAGTGTCTGGGGACGGACCAGTCGGAGGGGAGGATATTGTTGCAGGAAGGGCAGGTTGGTTGTGTTAAGCCCCACCCAGACCTGCAGAATGAAATGCTCCAAAGACCAAACGTGCTTCAAGAAACCTTCCAAAGGGCTAGAATGATAGTTTATCAGTTAAGACCTCTGGGTACCCTTCCAGTGGACCCAGGTTCAATTCCTAGCACCCACATGGCATCTCACTACCATCTCTAACTCTAGTTCCAGAGAATCTGATCCCCTTTTCTGGCACCAGGCATGTGGTACCCCAACATATAAGCAGGCAAAACACGCCCCACACCCACACAATAAAATAAAATAAATTCCTTCCAGATGGTTCTGATACTTTCCAGCTTGAGAACCACTGGCATGATGGATACTTTCATTAGAATATAATTTTAGAAGCAAGGGGAACACTGTGAGTCAGTCTGTGGCAGCACCCAGTGTTCCTCTTTGAGGTGAGCTATAGTTTGAATCTGGAATGTCTATAAAACGCCCCTATATTAAAGCCTGGGAGCCTTTTAGGAAGTAGAGCCTAGTGAGAGGAGGATACAGCACCAAGGTGTGCCCTTGCAGGGGATGCTGAGATCCTAGCTCCTTCCTTTGCTTCCTGGTTTCTTCTCTGGCATTTGTTCCGGTTCATAATATACCATGATGCCACACGTCCAAGGCAGCAGAGCCGCTGATCCTGAACTGGAGCGTCTGACACCCAGAGCCCCAGAATAAACCTATTGTCTTTAGAAGTTATTTGATTGGTGTATTTTGTCAGTGATGGCAAACTGATGTACTGGGGTCTCAGCGTCACAGAGCTTTTATCCCTCTTTAATGAGAACATCAGAACTTGTAACTAGAAGGTGTATGTCTCCACATCCCAAGAGCTGAACAGATGTCAAGGGAAAATGGGCAAATCAGTGAGTTGGTCTGTGGGAAAAGAACCTTTAGGAGAGTGCTCTAGCTGACCTTGAATCCTTTCTCTTCAGGGATTAGACGATCGTGTTGACGCTGAACTGGTCCAGACCTGTGGAAATGGCTCTGCGTCCCCCATCTTACAATGCTGCCCATCTGTCCTTCTTAGCAGCTTGCTTTCTATTTCATAGCTCAAGGGCCAGCCTGTGGCTTGAGAGGGCTAAGTTCTCCCAGCCCACCACTACCTTTCACATGGTCAGGCGCTGTCCCCAGAGGCCCAGAGAATTCATCTGTCAAGTGAGGGGTGTTGGTGAGAGGTGTCAGCTTTCTGGCTTTTCTCCTGTGACATTTTGGGGTTGACTTTGCCCTGAAAGCTGGATCAGACACCTCTTCCATTGTCTTGCTGCTACGCCAGGGATCTCACATTTTCTGACTCTCACTCATAGCGTTTGCAGGGGGAGTGAGTGTTTCACTGCGAGCTGGTCCTTAGCAGAACTGTTTAAATGGAAATTCTTTTGGACCAACATTGACTCCAGGAGCCCAGGACCAAGTCTACATTGCCCTTCTCCTTCATCCCTGCTTTGGGTATTTTTAGATGCCAAACTCTTGTTCAACAGAGCCTTCCCTTACTTAGCACCCCAAGCAGAGAAAACCTGCCTTGCCAATTCCCTGTGCTGGAGAGATATACCACCACCACCACCACCACCACCACCACCAACAACAACAACAACAACAATAACAACAACAACAACAACAATAATAATATCAATAATAATAATTTAGCTGAGACTGTTGTCCTTTGTAAATGAGGTTGCATTACCAGTGTTGTTAGTTAGGGTCACAGCCTGTGCTAGACTGGATCTATTGGAGAAATTATTTTGGCCACTCCACGTAGTTAAAAGGATATTTATTTAATGGCATAACTCACAAATTAAGTAATAGGTAGGTTGCAGGGTCTGGGGAAGGTGTATTGCAGTCCAGCAGTGTTCTCTGGAGCTCTGCTCAGTCAACCTCCGCTGTTCAGCATCGGGGCACAGAGAGAGCGCACAGAGAGAGCACTGGCCCATCCAGCTCTCCGGTCTCCTGGCGCCTCCCCTGGCCCCGCCTCGTAGGCATGACAGTTGCCAGAGTCTCAATGGAGGTTGGAACTTCCAGATCCAAGCTGGAATGGCTACCCACTACATGGACCATCAGTCCTCAAGAGTCCAATGAAACAAACAAGCAGTGAAGAGCAGAGAAAGAGAACTTATTCAATGCGGCCACACTAGGAACAACGACAACAAAAGAGATCAGGTGAGCCTTCACGTCCATTATTAGGGTGCTGCCATGAAGTTTAAGTAGAAGGTAGGAGATGAGTTATCCATAAGCCATCGGTCCTGGGGGGGTATGACCCTGCCCATCACCCAACCCTTCATTATCGGCTCAGCTCCAGTCCCTCCTGCGAGGTAGCCTGACAGGTTGGCAAAGTGCATGGGACTTCTGTCTGAGGGACAAAGTTCCTCTCTGGCTGGCGCCAGGGCTTAGACTTTGACTTCTCTTACTTTGAGGTTCCTGGAGAAATTCCAGTTTCATGGGGACCATAGTTTTAACCGACGGATAAGCACAGGGAAGTCACAAATGGCTCTCTTTGAAATGTCTCACTCCTACCTGGATGGTTTCAGTAGGGATTTTCTGTTTCTTCATGCTAGAAGATCTTGGTCTAGTACAGGGTATGTAGAGGTTGCATGTCCTCTTTGCTGCCCACGTTAGTGATGCCTCCAGACATTAGGGCTGGCTCTCAGTTTTATCACTATTTATGGATATAGCATGGATTTACTGCCTTCTTTCCTATGAGTACAAATGCATATTTAAGTCTTAAACTTCGTGTTATTTAGTTAGCATTTATATACGCTATGGTAGATGCTTGCATTAGTTTAGCCCACACTGACCAGTAACTAAGCCCCAGGTAGTGGAGTTTCATGATTCCTTTTTAGATAAGGAAGGAACTGATGCTGAACTCAGAGCCAGAGATCCCAGGCATCCTGTTTCCTCTCTGTTCCCGGCTTAAGGGTGAGGGGAGGACCAAGCCACTAGGTGGAGGACCCATTTCTAAGACAGTTCAGTTTGAGGTTTTGGTGTCTTGCTCCACTCCCTCTCCCCAGTCCCTTCTAGGTTAGCTGGGTGTGGTGTGGGTCTGTCTGTGTTTGCTGTTTCCCCAGGGTGAACCAGGGAAGACGAAGAAGATAGAGTTAGTTGGGACAACGGGGTGCAAACAGCTCTTCTGATCTGCAACCACAGCTCTTGCTTCCCTGGTTTCAGTTATCTGTGGTGTTAGAAGATAAAACCAAGAGTTGTGTCTGTGACCCAAGAAGCTGGAAGCAGAAGTGTTGAAGAAAAAGGCAAAGGATGAGATTATTGGGAGATATTTTGCTTCTTAGAGAGATTTTAATGTGTTCGGCCATTTACAGAAAAGGGAAACCCTAGCCTTACTAATGCGAAATTTCCTTTTAGGCTCCATAGCACGTGGTTGTTTTCTGCGGTGGGGAACTAACACATGAAACTAGGATTTTTTTTTTTTTTTTTTTTTTTTTTTGATTTTTTGAGACAGAGTTTCTCTGTGTAGCTTTGGTGCCTGTCCTGGATCTTGCTTTGTAGACCAGGCTGGCCTCGAACTCACAGAGATCCACCTGCCTCTGCCTCCCAAGTGCTGGGATTAAAGGCATGCAACACCACTGCCCGACTGAAACTGGGATTTTTAAGAGTCAGAGGAAGAGGTTAACACATTAGAGTTCTCATTTCCTACAGAGGCTCACAGATACTGTCCCAGATTAATATAAAATATTAATCTAAAAATTTTAAGGATATCCTAATACACAAATGATATTCTAAGTAATTTAAGTATGTTAACCAATGTCACAAAGATTACCAGGGAAAACATGAAAACAGTGTGACTAGTGAGAATCAGAAGCCTGATAGAGAGGAAGAAGGAAGAAGTAGATCCAGTGCATTCCTCAACTGTGACATTAAGCAGGCATAATTTCTGCTCAAATGAGGTGAATTAAGAATAGAAGCACAAATATTTTGTTTTCTGCTCTGCTAGTCAGAACAGGAAGAATAAAAACTCAAGTCCATGGGAGCCATCTCGAAGCACAGGGGGGCTGTTCTTTATCCACGGCTTTCTGTAAAATAACAGTTTAAAGATTATGTGTGCCCAATTATTTGTACAAAAATATAAGCCATTTGACATGTCCAGGGGGTCAGAGATAATTATGTCCCAGTCGGCAAGATTTGGACAGAGCAATGTTTTGACTTCTAGTCCTGGCAAATCCATCTTCTTAAGCGGGAGAGCCAAGGAGGCCAGAGGTCAATGGAGATAAGAGGTCATGTGACAGCTGGTGAGAGAAGAAGCCGGAGAAGACACCCTCCCCCAGAAAAGAGGGATCATGCACGCACATGCGCACGCACATGTGTGCATGCACACACAACAGAGAGAGGAATCATGGGATTAAACAGAAGAAGTCAAGGGCAGAGGTCAGCTATGAGACCAACATCATTTGTTCTAGGCTTATTCAAGTCCCATCTTAGAAGTCAGTCTGGAGAAAAAGACTGCCCTGTCCAGAGAACAGGAAAGGATATCAGAAAAGAATGTGGCCACTGTACTTTCCTCTTGTCTGAACCTCCAGTGTTCAATAACTGGTCTTCTGGCTTGTTTTAAGGCCCTGTCTTATTTAGGGTTACTATTACTGAGCTGAAACACCATGACCAAGGCAACTTTTATGAACAAAAAGCATTTAGTTGGGGACTTACTGACAGTTTCAGAGGTTTAGTACAAAATTATTCGCGGCTAGGAGCATGGCGGCCAGCATGGTGCTGGACAGCAGCTGAGAGATCTACATCCTGATCCACAGGCTGAGAGAAGAAAAGACAGAGAGACTGGGCCTGGCATGGGCTTTTGAAACCTCAAAGCCCACCCCCAGTGACACGCTTCCTCTAACAAGGCCACATCTACATGATCCTATGGGGGGCATTCTTATTCAAACCACCCACAGGCCCTATGATGGAGTCCTTAATTTCTGTAACATAAGGAAAAGCCTAGAAAAAATAAAAGATGAAAGACATGCCAGCTCATCTTCCCTCCACTCTGTGCAAAGGAGTTTTCTGGTGAGCATTCATTTATGTGGTGATGCCAAATGTGAGCTGAGAACTCCAGTTCTGGGCGGTCAGGATGGCGCAATTAATCCAGAAGAAGCTAAAAAAGAAGCAGTTTCTGTGCAGTGACTCCAGAACTTGTCACACACACACACACACACACACACACACACACACACACACACAC